CTCTCAAGTAGCCGAGCTAAACCAGCCCCTTGGTTTACCGAGGAACTGGCAGCGTTGAAGCGAAAGAAGAGGGAACTAGAGAGCGTGTGGCGTTCGGATCCGAGCGAGCCAAATCGAACACGGTTTGTGTCCTTTCTAAGGGCATATGCCGCGGCAATAAAAGCCGCAAAGAAGACTTTCTTTGCGGCCACTATTGCGTCTGCAAAGAACCGTCCGGCTGAACTGTTCCGAGTTGTCAGAGGCCTTGTTAAAACCCACCACTCAGGATGGGTGCCCTGATGACTCGGCAGCTCGCTGTGAAGCTTTTGCTCAGTTCTTTGCAGACAAAGTCGCTTTGATCCGCTCTGGACTGGATACCATATTAACGGCAGTCTCTGAGGATGTAACACGAGCATCTGCTTGTCCAATTTTGATGGATTCATTTCAATTGGTTCAATCCGAGGATGTGGACAAGGTGCTTGGAGGAATGAGAGCTACCACATGCATCCTAGACCCCTGCCCATCCTGGCTTCTGAAGGAGGCCAGAGGGGGATTGGCCGAGTGGGTGAAGGTGGTGGTTAATGCCTCCCTTCGGGAGGGCAAAATTCCAGCCAACTTAAAACAAGCTGTGATAAAACCGCTGTTGAAGAAACCATCACTGGACCCCACTCAATTCGTCAACTATCGGCCTGTTTCCAATCTCCCCTTTTTGGGCAAAGTCATGGAACGTGTGGTGGCCTCACAACTCCAGGCATTCTTGGTAGACACGGATTATCTGGATCCGGCACAGTCTGGCTTTAGGCCGGGGCATGGTACCGAGACAGCCTTGGTCGCCTTAGTGGATGATCTGCATCAGGAGCTCGACAGGGGGAGTGTGTCCCTGTTGGTGCTGCTCGACCTCTCAGCGGCCTTCGATACCGTCGACCACGGTATCCTTCTGAGACGCCTCGCGGGGATGGGTCTTGGAGGTACTGTTTTGCAGTGGCTCCGCTCATTCCTCGAGGGTCGGTCTCAGAAGGTGTTACTGGGAGACTCCTGTTCACCCCACAACCTTTGTCTTGTGGGGTTCCTCAGGGTTCAATACTGTCTCCCATGTTGTTTAATATCTACATGAAGCCGCTGGGTGAGATCATCCGGAGTTTCGGAGTGCGAGTGTCATCTGTACGCAGATGATGTCCAACTCTGTCACTCCTTTCCACCTGCTACTAAGGAGGCTGTAGAGGTCCTGAACCGGTGCTTGGCCGCTGTGACGGTCTGGATGGGGGCGAACAAATTGAAATTGAATCCAGACAAGACAGAGGTACTCCTGGTTAGTCGCAAGGCCGAACAGGGTATAGGGTTACAGCCTGTGTTAGACGGGGTCGCACTCCCCCTGAAGACGCAGGTTCGCAGTTTGGGTGTGATCCTGGACTCATCGCTGAGCCTGGAACCCCAGGTTTCGGCGGTGACCAGGGGAGCATTCGCACAGTTAAAACTTGTGCGCCAACTGCGACCGTACCTTGGGAAGTCTGACTTGGCCACGGTAGTCCACGCTCTGGTTACATCCCGTCTTGACTACTGCAACGCTCTCTACGTGGGGTTGCCTTTGAAGACGGCTCGGAAGCTCCAATTAGTCCAACGGGCGGCAGCCATGTTACTAACAGGAGCAGGGCGCAGGGAGCGTACAACTCCTCTGCTGTACCAGCTCCATTGGCTGCCGATTTGCTACCGGGCCCAATTCAAAGTGCTGGCGCTGGCCTTTAAAGCCCTAAACGGTTCTGGCCCAACTTATCTATCCGAACGTATCTCGGCCTATCAGCCCACCAGGACCCTAAGATCTTCTGGGGAGGCCCTGCTCTCTATCCCGCCTGCTTCACAGGTGCGGCTGGCGGGGACGAGAGGCAGGGCCTTTTCTGTGGTAGCCCCTCGGCTTTGGAACGCCCTCCCCATAGAGGTAAGATCAGCCCCCTCGCTGGTGGCGTTTTGAAAAAGACTGAAGACATGGATGTTCGAACAAGCATTCGGTTAACACGGTGCAACGAATCTGACGATCAAGGACTGGTAATCACAGACGATGAAATTGGACTGCGTTTTTAACTAAGAGATGCATTGGTTCGATATTGGTGGCCCAATATTGTATATTATGTATGTGTTTTTATGCTTTTTTATGCTTTTTATCTTGAATATTGTTGATTATTGTAATGTTGTAAACCGCGTTGAGTCGCCAATGTAGGCTGAGAAACGGCGGTATACAAGCGCAGTAATAAATAAATATCTGTCAGCTCCAGCTCTCGTGCAGGGACACGAGAGAAGCTTCCCACAGAATGGTAAAACATCTAGGCGTCCTCTGGGCAACATCCTTGCAGACGGCTAATTCTCTCACACCATAAGTGACTTGCAGTTTCTCAAGTGTCTCCTGACATGGAGAAAAAAAGCTGTTTGCAGAAATATAAAAGGTCTGATAGACCACCCAGAGTTCAAATTGTATTTCTATTACCTTTAAAACAGCAAAACTAACAAAACCAAATCTCAAACAGCCCATGGACTAAGTATGCTTCATAGGCATGAGATCCTAACTGGAAGGGGGAAAATGAAGTGGTGGAGGATCAAATGGAGTACACTGGTAGAAGGTGTGGTTGACTGATGTTCCATTAAAGGCAATAGAAACACGATTTTAATTTTCTGATGATCTTTCCAAAGCAACTGGATGAAGGGAGATGAGGAAATATGCCTCAAGGTTTTCTGCATCCTGTATACATATTAGCAGAGGGAATTTGTATCTAGGAGACTTGCTTGGCAAGCTGCTGCCAGAGCCAACCCATTGGGGGATTTGGCATCAGTAGCACCAGCCTTTTCAAAAGGAAGAGCCATTAATACTTTGAGCACGTTGACCATCACACCATGAAAAGTTTTGCATTCTAGATGGTTATCTCTGACGGGTTAGTAAGTAACAACCCACTTACTAACCTGACGGGTTAGTAAGTGGCTGTATAGTATTTATGTTAGATATGTTTGATTATGGAATTCAAAGTATAGTTGGACCACAGCATAACATGAAGGGATATTATGCCTCAATACTATGACAATTTTGTTTTTTGTTATAACACCATTACCAATATTTTCTAAATTAACTCAAATTTAATGTAGTTTCTTATACAAAGTGGTGAGGTATGTGTTGATATGAAATATTTAATAGCATTGATTTTATACATACCATATATGATTTTATACATACCATATATATGGACAATGTTCAAAAATAGAATTCTGGAAGGTTTCGAGAAATAAAAACTTGTGGTTGTGATTTACAAAGATAAAAGCTTTATTACGACATATACATAGGTGATATATACATAAATTGAGTTAAATAGGTTGCATATGATACAATGACGACATAAATAAAGTAAGAGAAATAAACAAATGGTAGGTTGTTGTAGGTCTTTTCAGGCTATATGGCCATGGTCTAGAGGCATTCTCTCCTGACGTTTCGCCTGCATTAAATGGTAATTGTTTATGTAAATGCAATAAGTTGGCAACAGTGACTGCCAAGGGTATTACTTATGTATAGCCAATGCACTTTAACTGTAATAAAGAACATTATTCTTCATCAATTTCTAATATTACTTCCAGCAGTAAATTAAATTAAATCAAGCATTCTAATAGTTTTTTTCCCCACACATAGGGTAAAAAGGACAGTCTTATAGGACATCTTCATTTACTTGGCATTTCAAGATAGCGTGGTCGTTTCCTGTATATGCACGCTAACTACATAATGGGAAAATGCTGCAGTAAAACGAATACTCCAATAATTATAATTCAAAATGACACAAATCCTGGAAAATCGGCAATAAATGATCATTTCCCCCCAAAAAAGGAGGAAATATGTCTAGGACCTATGACGAACTTTTTCCAAGTTACAGGGGAAAAAATACCACAGAGGATTCAAAATAATGCAGACACTCGGTGAGAAGATATCAGCAATAATGCCCAGGGTTTACAGAACATAAAGGAAATGATAGTTTGGAAGTGATTTATATTTACTGATGTTACAAAGGTTCAAGGATGTTCTGCTAAAATGTGTAATATATGACATGATACTTTATGTATATATGTTAATTGGAAAAGTTAGCCAAAATAATAAAAGAGTTAAATTAAATGACTCAAGTCTTGTTTTCAATACCCTGTTGAATTTTTCATCATAAAGATATTTACATTTAATGGTATGAGCAAATCGTATTAGAAAATTATTTATTTCCTTTGAAAATGAAGAATGTGATTGGGTTGCTTTGAGTTTTTCGGGCTGCTTGGCCATGTTCCAGTACCATTCTATCCCAATGTTTTTCCCATATCTATGGCAAGCATCCTGAGGTTTGTTCAGAGGTCTGTTGGAAATGAGGCAAGTGGGGTGTATGTATATCTGGAATGTCCAAGGTGGGAAAAAGAACTCTTTGTCGTCTTGAGCCAAGTGTGAATATTGCAATTGGCCACTTTGATTAGCATTGAATGGCCTTGTCGCTTCAAAGCCTGGCTGCTTCCTGCTTGGAGGAATCCTTCGTTGGGAGGTGTTAGCTGGCCCTGGTTGAGTCTTGTCTGGAATTCTGTTTTATTTTATTATCATTATTAAGTGTTCCTCTATTTACTGTCCTGATTTTTAGTTTTTTAAATACTGGTAGCCACATTTTGTTTATTTTCATATCTCCCTCCTTTCTGTTGAGATTGTCCACATGCTTGTGGATTTCAATGGCTTCCCTGTGTAGTCTGACATAATTTTAGGAATATTAAAGCACTTTTTCCACTGCACAAAATAGTTCAAGGTTTGTTTAAGATAAAACGCCACGAAATATAACCTACATTTTGAGAAGTGCGATCTCAACAGAGGAGAGAGCAGCAGAGATGCGCAAACTATTCAAAAAATCCCGGCTTTACCTCCTTTCCTTCGGGCCAAGCTCACTTCCCGCATGAAGAAATAGCAAAGATGGCCGGAAGTTCCCTACCTGATGTACGCCTCTTTTCTATTTCGTATCTCTACATGCAAATGGATCGGTCCGACTTCCGGGTGCTGCGGGCGCTCGGGTCTTTCCGGAAACTTTCGGCTGCGCTGCCGAAGAGCCGAGTCCCGGTTCGGAGAGCCACAAAGAGAAGGAGGTGGATCGCTCCCTACCGCTTTAAGGACTCGCTGCCCAGGTAGCAGTGCCTTCAGGACTGGGTTCGGATTCTGCCTTGAGGCTGCAGCCCTGGCCATGCTTATATCCTGAGATTATCAAGTGTGTGGTATTCTCCACTATGGAACTGAATGACGCTATCAAGGGAGGAAGCTTAGATGAGGAGCCCAAAAGATGTTGATCTTCTGATACTGTTGCATTCTAGCAAAAAGGGATGTTGGGCCAGTTGGTTCTGAAACCAAGGTTGTTGCAACCATGGGAGGCACATGAAGGATGAAAGTTTTCCTCAATTTCTGAGTTTACACAAACCACTTAGTGTTGTAGGTAAAGCCCCTTAGGAGGCAGTGATAGGCTAATAATATAAAATATTGTATATACATATAATATTGATAATAACATTATAATGTAATTCAATATAGTGCTACTAATAATACAATATAATAATTGTATATTATATATTGCATGTAATATTTCTAATAATACTGCAGTGTAGTGGTATAGCATTAATTGAATTAACTATTTATAAATAAATAATAAATACTCTGTGTTCTTCTCCTTAGGTTACCACTGATGCACACAAAAGAAATAAGTAATTTCCTTCATTCCTCCAGCGTTTAATATTCCATTGTCTACTCATCAGGAAAAAGAGAAATTGTACAAAATCATCCAGTTGACAAGATTGTTTCCTGTGCTTTTTGAAAAGGATGACACTGGAACTATGGTTTGAAAAGATACATTTTTATCAGAGGAACAGACTATGCAAAAGTGCCAATTTTTGAAAATTGATCATTGGATTTCCCTGAAACATGATCCTTCAGTTATCTCTGAAGAAGTGCTTCCCATTATACCATGTTTTCAAAGTCCCAAATGCTGGTTTCCAGCACGCATCAAGGGGAGGGCTGGTCCTACAGTCTGTTTCCCAGGACATTTATGAGAATTTGGCTTTAGAGGACTGGATCCATGATAATATGGATTTAGAGAACAGACAGGTTCTTTTCCTGTGGAGGAATTCTTCTACGGTGGTGATTGGCAGGCACCAGAATCCCTGGCAGGAATGTAATCTCAAATTCATGAGGCAGAAAGGCATAAAACTCGCTCGAAGGAGAAGTGGGGGAGGCACCGTTTACCACGATCCTGGCAATATCAACCTCACTTTCTTTACCAATCGGAAAAAATATGAAAGAATGGAAAATTTGAAATTAGTTGTTAAAGCTTTAAAAGCCCTTCGACCCCAATTAGATGTGAAGGCGACTGAAAGATACGATCTCTTGTTAAATGGGATTTTTAAGATTTCAGGAACAGCTGCAAAATTAGGGAGAGCTGCCGCTTATCACCATTGCACTTTGCTATGTAGCGTGGATTCATTTGTTTTATCAACAGTGCTAAAGAGTCCCTACAATGGGATCAAAAGCAACGCCACTCCAAGTGTGCCTGCCTTAGTGAAGAACCTCTTTGAAGAAGACCCAACTTTAAACTGTGAGATGCTCGTGGATGCCATTGCTGAAGAATATGCTTCACGCCATCAAAGCAATAACCATATAATTCTTATAAATCCATCTGATGAAACAGAATTTCATGGGATTAAGGACAAAGCAAGAGAACTTCAAGCTTGGGATTGGTTGTATGGCAAAACACCAAAGTTCAGTATTAGTACATCTTTTAACATAGTACACGAACAATCTAGTGTTGAAATTAAGATAAATATGGAGATCAAAAATGGCAAAATTGAAACTTGCCATATTGACGTGCCTCAGTTTTGGCTACCACCAAGCATGTGTGATGAACTCAATGATTATCTTATTGGCAGCAAATTCTGTCCCAGCGAAACCTCTGCAGTGACAACAGCTTTGCTGAGAACATGTACAGATTACAAATTACACAACAAGTGGAATATGCTATGTGAGAAGTTAGTTGCTATAATGTAACAATATGTGACAAAGTTTGGTCCTTGATCGTTAAGGTGGTCCAGCACAAGATTGTTCCAGCGTATGGTTTTCCTGACTTGACTGAACATAAGAGATCTAATTATTATATTGAAATAATAAATTGTTTTTAAAATGTAAAATCGGAACATAAGGTAAACTCTTGTTAAAAGAAGTGAACAATAGGAACTGTTGACATGTCTTAGCTGTGTTGTTGAGTGCCTTCCAAGACATTTACAACTTATGGTGGTCATAAAGTGAACTTATCAAGAGCATATTATTGTCACGATTTCTTCAGGAGTGCCTTTGTTTTCTTCTGAGGCTGAGAGAGTAAAACCTACCTTAGTCACCAGGTGGGTTTCCATGATCAAGCTGGGATTCAAACCTTGGCCTGCAAAGTCATAGTCCATGGCTTTAACCCAGTGGTTCCCAACCTTTTTCAGGGACCATTCTCCAACATTAGTACCAAAAGGGTTACGAATCAGTTTTTGGTCAACTTTAGATTCGGTTTGGTTATTTGGAGAGCTAATTCAGAAAATTTCATTGGATAAACCACATCAGCTCTAGTTTCTGATACAGAACATATACCATCCAGTAGTTGCCATCTGCTCACCCACAGAAAACTATATTTAATAATCTAGAGCTGATGTGGTCTATCCAATGCAATTTTCTGAATCAGCACCCCAAATAGCCCCAGGAACAGGCCTAAAAACAAAGACACCAAAGTGCCCCCACTTCCAGGTGCCACGTGGAACAGCTCCACTCGAGGAGAGAGAAGCACGAGAAGCAGCAGTCAGGAGGCTTGTTGTTGTGCCTTTCATGGGTAGTCACCCTCTCTCCTCCCAACATCCCTGTTGCCGCAGCATTATAAGAGGGTTTTGCGAGACCAGTCGCTCTCGTTGCAACAATGTAGTAATGGTGAGGCTGCAGACCGTATTTTAGTTCTTGGTTCACGGATCACAGGTTGGGAATCACTGCTTTAACCACTACATCAAGCTGGCTCTAAAGTAATTGCTGAGTTTAGTTGAACTTTTTCTCGAGCCCTGTATTCTTTCTGACAGGCAGATTTGTAGATAAGGTAATAGAGCCATTCAGAAAGTCTCCTCCTCCCAACTTGCAAGAAAGGACAATAGTCCAAATTGTGCCACTCTCTTATATTAATATTTTATATGTAGCAGATACTTCAGAAAAGACCCAAAGGATAGAGGGATCATGGGAGTCTCCATTAGATATGAAAAGCCAGCTGTCCTAATAAGTGCATAAATGTGTTTTATCTGCTGCAATAGGTTGATTGAAAATAGAAAAGATGGGTGAGCAAATATAAATTTGAACAACAAATAGAAATATTAATTTCACATAATTGTCATGAATACATCTTATGGAATCTTCTCTTTGTAGATTGCTGAAATGCCAAGAATGTACTGCTATAGGCCAGGAAAGAGCAGTAGGGTTCTCTGGCAGAGAATTTTAATTGAGTCATCAAACTTGGAAATCCCAAAACATCCATAGGAGGAAGTCAGCTCAAGAAGGATGAAATGGATCTTTAGCATAGCTATTCCCTAAGCAAGAGACAGGCTTCAATAGGAGGGATGAGGAAGATTAAAAATGGCCACATAGCCCAAAAAACTTACAACAACCCAGTGATTACAGCCATGAAAGCCTTTGACAATACATTAAAAATATAACATTAGGGCTAAAACCTCTGCCTGTTATTAATTACTTATTTAAAAATAGCCTCCTACCCAGGTCCACCCAACATTCATATCCCACCAATGTGTACAATAGATTGGCCTGGAACAAAAACTAAACTAAAACCCAAAGTTACTTCCACATGCTTTCCATACTGAGGTTGCCAGGCTGAAGTTTTGGCATTTCCTCAAGGAAATGAAACAACCATGTTCTGAAATGGTACACTGCTGCTAATGATTGTAGTAATAGGACAAATGCTGCCTGTTTGCAGATCTCAGGCTTTGCTCTAGGCAAGTGCTGTGCCTCCAGTTTTTGGCCCAAACTGCCAACTGTACCCTAGGCATGGGAATAGTGGACACAGGAGGTGTGTGCAGCCTTCAAGGGTTTGGTAAAATGTAGCCCCAGACATCTAGTTGTAGGTCATCCCAATATATAGAGAACATTAAGATTGACCAAAGATGTAATTTAGTAATATTTGTTTCCAAAGTTTTTCTTTTAATGCATATCTATCCAATCACATTACCTGGTCTAATTCATATGGGACATTGTGTCCCCTTTTTCTGATCCCTGTAAATCACATACATGGGTCTCCTACACAGAACTTTCAGAACCTTCTAGAACTCTTTCTGTGCGTATAAAGGGTCAACTGCCACCAAGCTGACCGTTCGTTTCATCCGTTGCAGCAGCAGCATTGAAGGAAACTGCTCCCAGTGTGTGTCTGTTTTCACTTTACTTTGTTCTTGAATCTGGATTGTTTGTCGGCTTTCCTTCCGATTTAGGATTTGGTTTGGTCTTCTCTTGTCTTTGGCTTGAACTTTACGGCTTCTCTGCTGGTTTCTTGTCCTCTTTGGCTTGCTGTTTGTTCTCAAGATGCCTTCAACACCATCCTTCAAGTGTTGCGTCAAGTGTGGTACGAAGATACCGGAAAAGGATGGTCATGAGAAGTGCCTCCTTTGTCTTGGTGAGGGGCATGTCATGCATGCCTGTGTTCATTGCCGGGCGTTCACCTCACAGGAAAGGCGGGATCGGAAATCACTCCTCAAAGCCTATCTGTATGAAGAGGCCTTGTTTCCTTCAATCATGGTGTCCCCAAAATTGGCATCGAAAACATCAGGGCCATCAAAGGCATCAGTGAAGTCTGATTCCGTGTCAGTATCGAAGCCTTGCTCAAGCTCAGACCATCTGGCTACTGCCAAGCCTGCAACCTCCAAGCCTGTGATGTTAGAAAAGGACGTCTTGGTCTCAACTCCAGCAGCATCCAAAATGGTTGTGATACCCCGGACAAGGTCTAAGTCATCTTTGCAAATGGCCTCTCCAACTCCTTTGGCTTTGGCCTCAAATCCGAAGCCTTCCTCGGTCCCAGCCTCGATGGCGTCAACTTCCACCTTCCAGGCACCATCTACTTCAACCATTCGGAAAACCACCAAACGCTCATTTCAGGACTCCACTTCCATTTCCAAGAAAGCCAAGACCGTCAAGCCTGAGGTCATGGTGAAGAAACACACAACACCAGGGAGATTGGTGAAATTGGTAACTTCAGACCATTCTTGCAAAAAGCACCATGAGAAGAAGCACAGGGATTAGCCTCACAAACAGTGACTCCAGCCCTCTCCAAGATGTCAGGGGTGCATGAAATCTTGTTATAGGAAGCACCACTGACTGCCATTCTCCCCCCGCACCCCAGCTTAGTTGAAGCCCCCATGTTGGATCCAGCACAGTCACTTTTGCTCCTGGTCTTCGTCATCGGTTTTGTGGGATTCAAGGTGATCCGCTTCCATGAGTGTTGACTGTTCTTTATCACAGTTGCTCACTTTATGGGGAGTACTGCTCCCACATAAGTACTGGAACAATCCCTACTGCTGGCTATGTCATGATGGGCATGTGAGAGATGCATGACAACCAAATCAATTGGTTTGCCTTTCCCACTCTTGGTCTTGACTCCTAGCAATGTTGTCTCAGGGCATGTCTTCTCCGCGTCAGTCCTGAAGCTGCCCAAGACTGATGGTCCCTATGCTTTCCTTAACCCCCTCTGCTTTTATGTGTTTCTTGGTTTTTGGAATTTGGAATCTGAACTTGGGTAGAACACAGTTATTATCATTTTAATAGTAGTATCATTCACTTAGTACTTTGGAGATTTTTTTTACCTTATAACATTAGTATTAGATTTTTCAAAATCCTAAATTGTTCATATTCAGTATTACTATAATTAATTTTATAGTCGATATTATGCATCTTGTTATTGAACCAATATTTTCTGGGCTGTCCTTTTTGGGAAGATTAATGCTATTTTTGTATTAAACTACTATTGCATATTTTGATTTTCTGTATCCATTTCCATAATTATTGTTATTATTATACCCCTCTATTTTATTTTTTCTTTATAATTTTTCTCACAACCTTTTCCTCTCATACATTTGCCTATCTAAATATCTTTGCCTTTGCTTTCAAAAATGTTTTATCTTCTCTTCTGTTTTTTTTCTTTTTCTTTTTAATTTAATTTTATTATACTACTTATTAGTATTTATATTATTTTCATTTCCCTCTTTTTGTTTTTAACAATGTTTCAGTTTGTTAACATTTTTATTTTTTATATTAAAATAAAATATTTATCATATTTGTTGCCTGAATGATTTTCTTTTGCACATGCACACATATATCCCCACTCTTTTTAATTTTTAGTATTTTCTCTCTCTGAGGAATATTATAGATTTGCTCTTGGAGGATGATACTTTTATTTTCACTCTACTCTATTATTATTATTATTATTATTATTATTATTATTATTATTATTATTATTAGCATCATTACTATATACATAATCTTTTTCTGCATTTTAAAATCTTCAATTATTTGACTTTTTTTTGAGAACTTTGGGTTTTCTCTTTTCTCTCCACATTCAAGAGGAGAGGAAAAAGTAAAAAAGGATGAAAGAGTGAAAATGAAGAGAGAAAGGAGTTGGAAGAAAAGGAAGAAGATGAAGAAGAAAGTGGAAGAGATGAAATAGAGGAGGAGGAAGGCAAAAAAGAAGGAAGGAAGACAAGATAGAGAAGAAAAGGAAGAGCTAAGAAATTAAAACATAGTGACAAATAGATTGAAATCAGGACAAGAAGCGAGGAGAGGATCTGCAGGTGTGCCTTTAAAAACAGGAGACATAAGCATAAACTTGATGAAGGAAATACAAGAGATAACGATTGAAATAACAAATATGGAGAGCAATCTAAAAAAAAATAATTTAGATTAGAATGTAACTAAGAGAAGAACTGATAGAAGTCAAACTAACCCTATCACAGATGACACTTGACATCAGGCAGGCATGTGAAAAAGTTGAGCACTTTAAAAGAAAGGAGCTGGAAAAACAGTACACAGATTAAAACAAGAGTGTGAACAAGATTAAGATGTTCTGGCATTGATGGGGAAAAAGAGACAGCATTTTGTTTAAAATGCAGGGGAGTTCAAGAACAACAGGAACATACTAGAGCAGTGGTTCCCAACCTGTGGATCCCCAGATGTTTTGGCCTTCGACTCCCAAAAATCCTAATAGCTGGTAAACTGACTGGGCTTTCTGGGAGTTATAGGCCAAAACACCCGAGGACCCACAGGCTGAGAACCAAAAAACAAAATGCCTTGATGTCTTGGTTTTTAGGTCTGTTCCTAAGGTTATTTGGTGTGCCGATTCAGAAAATTGCATTGGATAGACTGCATTGGCTCTTGTTTCATAGGTTGGATCTACACCGTCATATAATCCAGATTATTAAAGCAGATAATCCACATTATTTGGTTTTAACTGGATTATCTGCGTCTACAGTGCCATATAATCCAGTTCAAAGTAGATAATGTGGTTTTTATATGGCAGTGTAGATCCAGCCTCAGATAATGGTTACCATGATTTTCTATGGGCGAGCAGATGGTGACTGGTAGATGGCATATTTCTCTGTCTCAAAAAAATAGAGCCAATAGGGGAAAATTGGAACCATTTTTAGAATCAGCAGGTCAAATATGCCTAGAAACAGGACTAACCTTTGAGGCACCAAAAAGTGTGTTCCCCAGTGTAATCAATATGTTGGTGAAATTCTTGGGAGAAAGTCTGGAGAGGATGCAAATGGATATGGATAGAGTGCTCAGAATTAATTCAAAAGCAGTGGGTCAATGAAAATGCCCAAGTGATATGATTGTTTACTCTCTTCAAAAACATATCAAAGACCAAATACTACAGGAGCAAAACATATAAAAATGAGCATTGGTTATCTAATAACTAACAAATGAAGGCCATCTCTATGAGAATCCTCCAGAAAAGGGCAGTTATCTTTTCATGTGTGGCATGACACTCACCTCCTTAGGTTAGTAGCTTGCTCATCATCCATGTCTTGAGATTCGCAGTGACCACAAAGGAAGACAGGTTGCTTACCTATAACTGTGTTTCTTCAAGGGGTCTTCTATGAATGACCCCATTCTTCCTGCTGTGTGCCTTGTCACACTGCTGCTTTGCTGGCTATGGAACTGCCAGCTTGGAAGCAGCCAGCTCTTTGCACGAGTGGGGGGATATATATATCTTTTCTCATGTGGGATTACATAACTCTTACTTCAACCAATTCAGCGTTATCCAGAATAGGAGATCTTATAACTCAATCTCCTCCAAGTCTACTCACAAGGCCCTCTGAATCTGGAGTAAGACATGCTCTAGCAAACGGATACAGGATTGCAACTTCAGTGCAAAGTGGATGCATTGTTTATAGAATCATAGAATAATAAAATTGGAAAGGACCACGTGGGCCACCCAGTCCAACTCCCTGCCATGCAGGAAAAGCACAATAAAACTACACCTGACAGATGGCCATCCGGCCTCTGTTTAAAAGTTTCCAAGGAAAGAGCTTCCATCACGCTCCGAGGCAAGGTTCCAATGCTGAAAAGAACTTGGTCAGGAAGTTCTTCCTAATATTCAGGTGTTTTCTCCTTTCCTGTAATTTGAACCCATTGCTCCGAGTCCTAGTTTCAAGGGCAGCAGAAAACAAACCTGCTCCCTCTTCCATATGACACCCTTTCACATATTTATACATGGTTATCACATCTCCTCTCAACCTTCTCTTTTGCAGGCTAAACATACCCTGCTCTTTAGGACGCTCCTCACAGGGCATGGTCTCCAGACTTTTGATTATTTAATTGCCCTCCTCTGGACACATCCCAGCTTGTCAATATCTCTTTTAAACTGTGGTGCCCAGAATTGGACACAGTATTCCAGGTGAGGTCTAACTAAAGCAGAATAGAGAGGCACCATGACTTCCCTCGATCTAGATATGATACTCCTTTTGATGCAGCCCAAAATCTCATTGCCTTTTTTAGCTACTGCATTACACTGTTGGATCATGTTCAACTTGTCCACAAACACTCTAAGGTCTTTTTCACATGGACTGTTGTTAAGCCAGGAGCCACCCATTTTGTATCTTTGCATTTCATTTTTTCTGCCTAAGTGTACTATCTTACATTTGTCCTTGTTGAAATTCATTATGTTAGTTTTGGCCCTGCTTTCTAATCCGTTAAGGTCATTTTGAATTCTGATCCTGTCCTCTGGAGTATTAGCTCTCCCTCCTAATTTGGTGTCATCTGCAAACTTGATAAGCATGCCCTCTAAACCTTCATCCAAGTCATTAATAAAGATGTTGAATAGTATTGGGCCCAGGAATTAACCCTGCCGAACTCCACTAGTCACTTCTTTCCAGGATGAAGAGGAACCATTGGGGAGCACCCTTTAGGTTTGTTTGTTGAGAGGGGCGGTATATAAATATAGTAAATAAATAAATAAATACAGATCCATTTAATAGTAGCATTGACTAGTTTACATTTGACTAGTTTGTTTGCAAAAAGGTCATATTGAAATTAAGATATGCTACATCCACAACATTCCCTGCATCTACAAAGCTTGTAACTATTGAAAAAAGAGATAAGATTAGTAGGGCATGACTTGTTTTTGAGAAGTCCACATTGACTTTTAGTAATCACAACATTCCTTTCTAGATGATTGCAGACTGCCTCCTGAATTATCTGCTCCAGAATCTCTCCTGGTATTGATGTCAGGCTGACTGGAGTGTAATTGTTTTGGTCCTCTTTTTTCCCTCCTTGAAGATAGGGACAACATTGGCCTTCCTTTCCAGTCTGCTGGGACTTCTCCTGTTCTCCAAGAATTTTAAAAGATTATTGTCAATGGTTCTGAAATTACTTCTGCTAGTTCCTTCAATACTCTTGGATGTAGTTCATTTGGCCCAGGAGGCTTCAATTCATTTAGAGTAGCAGGGTATTCCTGGACTACTTACCTATTTTTGGGTTGCATTTCCCCTGTTACTTCTTTGACTTCATACTAGTCAGGCTGAACACCAATCTGCTTTTGGGAGAAGACTGACACAAAGAAGTTCCATGGAATAATGCTCAGTATTCTGTTAAATTTTCTGGTCAGCTCTCCTAAAGTCTAGAATGTATGTTTGACTTCTCTTAGTTTCTCCTTTCCTTTGTATCACAAATTCCAGGAGTACATCGTCACTCCCACCTAAGGATTCCACCACTTCCACGCCATTGACCTCACTGTTTATTAGGATCAGAGCCAGAATAGCCAATCCCCTTGTTGCCTCTTTTACCTTCTGGACAATAAAACTGTCTGCAAGGCAAGTGAGGAATTTGTACTCTTGGTAAAGTTTGCTTTCCAACAAATACTAGAGTAGTTGAAATCCCCCATTACCACTATATCTCTTCTTTCTGCATGTTTGATCATCTGGTCAAGGAAGGCTTCATCCAGTTCTCCAGTCTGTAGCAGACCCCCACAATTACATCTTTTTCAGTCCTTGTTCCCTCAATTCATATCCAGATGCTCTCAACCTGGTTATCTAGACATCATTAATATATATACTGTACACCATTATCTTGGGTTTCCAAGGAGTGATTCCAGTGTTGGGCAATGACATCAGTAGATAATTGTGACAGAAGCGATTGCTGCATGACTGCCTTCACAGCTCCCTTGTAGTCCCAGTAGTTGCCTAAGGTGGCTGCAACTCTATACTTTGTCAAATGACTGGGGTATCTGGTGGACATCTATATAATAATACATGGCTATAGTTTCTTAATAGTTTTGGTCTAAAACATTCGTAAGACTATAGTTAAAATTATGATGAACCCTAAAAGACCAGATTTGGAATATATATACATATTGATTTGTTTAGCTTTAAAAACAATAGTCCTGGAGTCCTCAGCCTCTGTGATGCGTTTGCCTTAGAGATATTAGCTAGACTGAAAAACTGCAATTTTAAAAAAATAACAAAAAGTTCCATTTATTTACAAAAGTGCACAGTAGACAAAATAGCTCACAAAAGTAGTAAGAGTGGTTGGAATAGGAATCATGTTTTCTTCGTATGCTTAATATGAAAGATATCCACAGTAGTTTCATGACATGGCCTCAAATCAAAGTCACAGTATCCAAGGCAAAAACGGCCCTGTGGGAGACAAAGGATTTTGCTAAACATATGATTCAGTAACACAGGCTTACTCAAAGATTAAATAAAAGCAATCCTCACCTGCGGTTTCTTGAAATAATCAAGGCCTCTTCCAATTTTAATTGTCCATCCATTGTTGAATCTGTTGAATTCAAAACATATTTTTTATTATTTACATCTCATCAATATTTAAAATGTATTGATTTCATAACAGTTTACTAATATGAACAACTAATTTAACTAATATATGAACCAATGCTATCAAGTGAAATTCTAGATTTTGATTTGAGAAACCAAGCTTTATATTGCTAAGCAGTAAAAGCAAGCACCTTCAAAGACATTGCTCATTTGTCAAATGAAGACAACAATTACCCACAGGATTGTTGTTAAGGATAAGAAGAGATTAAATATATTACATCATGACTAAAAGGTAAAGGTAAAGGTTTCCCCTGACATTAAATCTAATTGTGTCCGACTCTGGGTGGTGGTGCTGATCTCCATTTCTAATCCGAAGAGCTGGTGTTGTCCGCAGACACTTCCAAGGTCATGTGGCCAGCATGACAGCATGGAGTGCAGTTACCTTCCCACTACTCACATTTACATGCTTTCAAACTTCTGGTTTGACAGAAGCTGGGCCTAGCAGTGGAAGCTCACCCCACTCCCGAGATTCGAACCTGCGACCTTTCAGTCAGCAAGTTCAGCAGCTCAGCGCTTTAACCCACTGTGCCACCAGGGGACCTACATAATGACTAGAAGAACTGTATCAATGCATCAGTAATCATTGATACATTTGCTTGTTTGAATCTCTACCATTATACCTTAATTTTATGCATTGTGATTGCATTTGTTGTTGTATTCTCATTAATACATTTACTGGATATTCTCTTTTTACAAGGAAGGACAAGAGTCCAAATTGCTCTACTCTCCCATATTAATATGTTCTATGTAGCAGATGATTCAGAGAAGACCCAAAGGGTGGAGGGATTATGGGACACAACCATGTAATATGAAAAGTCACCTGCCTTAATATCCTAATAAGTACACAAATGTCTTTTGCCTGCTGCTATATCAGGTGGAACCTGTTTTGATAGACAGCAGAAAAGAAGGATAGGCAAATATTAATTTGGACAACAAGTGGAAGTGGATATTGATATATAAAGTACAGGTCTGAATCTTGGCAAGAGTAGGTTTCCAAACCACACTTATCAAATAATGTTAAACACACCAAGTAGTGTTGAGAACTTGTTATTTTCTGGCATGTTTCACCAACCTAATCTCTCGATCATGTATTGAAGAAGAATATGATACATCCAGAGTTACACCAAAATCCTCCAGGGACTGTCGAATTTCTTCCAAGCTGTTTATCTGTTGACTCCGTCCATTGCCCTATTAAAGTGTATATATGTTTTTCAAATTAAACTGAAAATTATTCAGAACATATTAAATTCAAATGTGCATTAAGGATAAGCATTTTCAGCCCAGATCCACAAAGCATATTATGAAGAACACTGTGTATTATCTTCTGTTTTCTACACTACATGGATATATTAATTTCATATAATTGTCATGAATACATCTTTGTAGATTGCTGAAATACCAAAAATTTATTGCTATAGCTCAGGAAAGAGCAGTATGGTTCTCTGGCAGAGAATTTTAATTGTGTCATCATTAGCATAGCAATACCCTCAGCAAACTTGGAAATCCCAAAAAATCCACAGGATGGTGTCAGTTCAAGAAGGATGAAATGGTTCTTTAGCATAGCTATACCTTAAGCAAAAGACAGGTTTCAATAGGAGGGATGAGGAAGAATAAAAACCTCTAACCATTCTTAATAACTTATTTAAACATAGCCTTCTACACAGGTCCACCCAATATTCATATCCCACCAATGTGTACTATAGATTGGCCTGAAAAAAAGATACAACTATAACTCAAAGGTGGAGCCCCCGGTGGTGCAATGGGTTAAATGCTTTTCATATAGAGGTTGCCAGGCTGAGGTTTTGGCATTTCCAGAGGAGAAATGCAACAGCCATGTTCTGAAATGGTACAGCTATTGCTAATGATTGAAAAGCAGGAGTAGAATAAATGCTACCTGTTTGTAGCTTGTAGCCTTTACTGTAGAAAACTGCGGTGCCTCCAGTTTTTGGCCCAAACTGCCAATTGTACCCTGGGCATGGGAATGGGGGACACAGGAGGTGTGTGCAGCCTTCAACGGTTTGGAGAAGTGCAGCCCAAGACTTCTAGGTGTTGGTCATCCCAATATATATAGAACATTAAGATTGACCAAAGGTATAATTTAGTAATGGTTATTTCCAAGATTTTTCTTTTAATTAATATCTACCCAATCACGTTACCTGGTCTAATTCATATGGGACATTATGTCCCCTTTTTCTGGTAAATCACATACATGGGTCTCTTACACAGAACTTTCAGAACCTTCTAGAACTCTTTCTGCACGTATAAAGGGCCAACTGCCACCAAGCTGACCATTTCTTTCGTCCGTTGCAGCAGCAGCACTGAAGGAAGCTGCTCCCACTGTGTGTCTGTGTTCGCGTTACTTTGTTCTTGAATCTGGACTGTTGGTCAGCTTTCCTTTCAATTCAGGATTTGGTTTGTCTTCTCTCGTCTTTGGCTTGACCTTTACGGCTTCTCTGCTGGTTTCTTGTCCTCTTTGGCTTGCTGTTTGTTCTCAGGATGCCTTCAACACCATCCTTCAAGTGTTGTGTCAAGTGTGGAACGAAGATACCGGAAAAGGATGGTCATGAGAAGTGCCTCCTTTGTCTTGGTGAGGGACATGTCATGCATGCCTGTGTTCATTGCCGGGCGTTCACCTCACAGGAAAGGCGGGATCGGAAGACACTCCTCAAAGCCTGTCTGTATGAAGAGGCCTTGTTTCCTGTGATCTCGACGTCCACAAAATTGGCGTCACAAGTATCAGGGCTGTCAAAGGTGGAGTCTGATTCGGTATCAGCATTGAAGCCTTCCTTGAGCTCAGCCCATCTGGCTACTGCCAAGCCTACAACTTCCAAGCCTTTGATGTTGGCGAAGGGCGTCTTGGTCTCAAATCCAGCAGCATCTAAGTTGGTTGCAATACCCCAGACTGGGTCTAAGTCATCCTTGCAAATGGCCTCTCCAACTACTTTGGCTTTGGCTTCAAGTCTGAAGCCTTCCTTGGTCCCAGGATTGATGGCATCAACTTCCACCTTCCAAGCACCATCTACTTCAACCATTCGGAAAGCCATCAAACGCTCATTTCAGGAGTCCACTTGTATTCAGGCCAAGAAGGCCAAGACCGTCAAGCCTGAGGTCATGGTGAAAAAACACACAACACCTGGGAGATTGGTAGAATTGGTGAGTGTGAACCATTCTTGCAAAAAGCACAGTGAGAAACAGCACAGGGATTAGCCTCACAAAACAGTGACTCCAGCCTTCCCAAGCTGTTGACAGAACACCCTATGCTTACAGTGACAGTAGGCTCCTCTTGGGCATCAATCTAGTTGATACTGTTATGAAAGGACACCAATAAACACTTAAGAGTCGGATTTTGACAGTCGGTCTCCCAGTGTAGCAGCCATTTTCGGAGGATGACATCTTGGACACACCACCACTTCCTGCCATTCAGGGGGACACTGCCTAGACTGTGATGCCGTCTCTGAGATTGTACCTATTTCAGCTCATCAGAAGCACCACCAACTGCCATTGGCCTCCCTAGCTTGGTTGAGCTCTCCAAAACCATCTTAGATTCAGCACAGATCAGCTTTGTGGGATTCAAAGTGATCTGCTTCCATGAGTGTTGACTGTTCTTCATTACAGTTGACCACTTTATGGGGAGTACTGCTCCCACAGTAAGTACTAGAAGGATCCCTACTACTGCATATATCATGATGCCTATGCTGGGCATTTGAGAGATGTGCAGCAACAAAATCAATTGGTTTGCCTTTCCCTCTCTTGGTCTCGAATCCTAGCCATGTTGTCTCAGGGTATGGTCTTCTCCACGTCATTCCTGAAGCTGCCCAAGCCTGATGGTCCCTATCTTAAGCCCCTCTGCTTTTATGTGTTTTGTGTTTTTTTTGGAATTGGAATCTGAAGTTTGGTAGAACATTCTTATTTTTAATAGTAGTATTACTCACTTAGTACTTCGGAGCTTTTTAACCTAATAACATTAGTATTAGATTTTTCAAAATCCTAAATTGTCCATATTTAGTATTACTATAATTAATCTTATGGTCAATATTATGTATCTTTTTATTGATCCAATAATTTTCTGGGAAGTCTTTTTAGACAAGATTAAAGTTCTTTTTGTATTCAATTACTTTTGCATATTTTGATTTTCTGTATCCATTTCCATTATAATTGTTATTATTATAGCACTGTACTTTAATTTTTCTTTAAAACTTTTCTCAGAAACTCTTTTTCTCTTGTATTTTCTTCTCTTGTATCTACATATCTTTGCCTTTTGCTTTTAAAAATATTTTTTGTTTTCTCTTATCTTCTGTTTTTCCTTTTAAATTTAATTTTATTACACTACTTATTAGTATTTTTATTATTTTCCTTTGGTTATTTCCCTCTTTTTATATTTTTTACAATTCTTTTTTTGGTTTTTAACATCTTTTTATTTTTTCATAACAAATGAAATATCATTTATCATATTAATTCTCTTTTTCATGATTTTCTTTTGCACACACAGCTATATCCCTACTCATTTTTATTTTTACTATTTTATTTCTCTGAGAAATCTTATCTATCTACTCTTTTCATTTTCACTCTACTCTTATTGTTATTATCATTACTATATATATAATCTTCAATTGTTGGACTTTTCTGAGAACTTTGAGACTTCTCTTTTTTCTCCACGTTCAAGAGGAGAGGAAGAAATAAAAAAGTCAAAAAGGATGAAAGAATGAAAATGAAGAAAGAAAGGAATAGGAAGAAGAGAAGAATGAAGAAGAGGGAGGAAGTTGAAAGAAAGACAAATAGGAGAAGAAGGTGAAAAAGAAGGAAGGAAGACACGATAGAGAAGAAAAAGAAGAGCTAAGAAATTAAACATGAGCCCATTCTTCCCGCTATGTATCCTGGCATGCGTCTCCTTTGCTGGCCATGGAACTGCTGGCTTGGAAGCAGCCAGTCCTTTGTACAAGTGGGGAGAGTGAGGCTAGAGCTCCAGAAGGCTCCAATGGTGCACTGCACAGGTGCAAGAGACCCATGCGTATGACCACTTGGAGAAACACAAAGAGCTTGTCCATATTAGTGGCATTGATATATCTTTTACCTCATAGCAACGTATCACTAGTAATAGTGTCCGGATCTTGTTTCTACAATTTTTAAAAACTAAACCATTTTCTCTTACATAGCAAACAGGAAACAGTCAGAATTTATAAACAAAAACACATCTTTCTTACATTACTATATCTGCCATGAATTGTAAGAACCAATCAAATATCCTAAGATATATATATATATATATATATATACACATATACATACACACACACACACACACACATTTTTGTAACATGGGATTGCAGAACTCTCTCACTTAAACAGATTCAGTATTATCCAGATTAAGAGAATTTATAGCGCAATCTCCTACTCACAAGGCCCTCTGAGTTTGGAGGAAGACATGCTCTAGCACAGGGGTTCTCAAGCTTTTTCAGATGCAGAGCCCTTTGTGTAGCCCCAAAAATGTTTATATTATATATAACTAAAGGTAAAGGTTTCCCCTTGACATTAAGTCTATCAAGTCCAACTCTGGGGGATAGTGCTCATCTTCATTTTTAAGCCAAAGAGCCATGTTTTCTGTAGACGCCTCCAAGGTCATGTGGTCGGCATGACTACATGGAGTGCCGTTACCTTTCCTCCAAAGCAGTACCTATTGATCTACTCACATTTGCATTTTTGAACTGCTAGGTTGGCAGAAGCTGGGACTAACAAGGCTCACCCAGTCCTGTGGACTTTAACCGCCAACCTTCCAGTCAGCAAGTTCAGCATCTTAGCAGTTTAACCTGCTGCACCACTGCAGCCACTGTGTGTGTGTATCATGTTATCATATACATATATATATATATATATATATATATATAGAGAGAGAGAGAGAGAGAGAGAGAGAGAGAGAGAGAATAATGTATATATATCAGGCATGGACAAATATTGACCAACATAAACATAAACATAACAGTATTTCAGTGGAAGACCTCAGGAGCCATCCAGTCCAACCCCCATCTGTCATGCAGAAAAATCACCATCAAAGCACTCCCAACAGATGGCAATTCAGGCATTGTAATAATAGTAATAATAATTGGAGGAGGAGCAGGAAAGAGGAGGGAAAGCTTGTAGGGGATGGGGGGGGGGACGAGGAGGGAACCATGGAGCGTCTCAGTATGCTTTGCGGAGACTGCACACTTTGAGAACTTCTGTGCCTAGCAAATGGATACAGGATTGCATCTTCAGTGTGCAGACTTACTTCATCATAAGAGGTAAGAAGATGTATTCTTTTCACTTTGCATCGTCCCTTAACGAGCATTTCACAGAATCGCAAGAAGTTGTACAACTGTAAGCAATTGAAAATAGGGTAAGTTTTTGGCCACATCATGAGATGACATAATTCACCAGAAAACATTATAAACATCAGTAAAGCAAAAGGCAGTAGGAAAATAAGACACCCACACACAAATGGATTATGTCAATTAAGGAAGCCACAGCATTGAGCTTCCAAGAACTGAGACAGCCTGCTGATGAGGACTCAAAGCTCTCTCATTCACAAAACTGACTTGACAGCAAATAAGAACAATACATTTCGGAGATAAAAACCAACAAACTCTTTTGACTATTTGAGTCTACATTGCCTTACCTGGTGGACATGTCTAATGTATGGATCCTCAACCCAAACCTCTGTAACAGTTTCATTAAGATATTCTTGGAATAGTTTTTCGTAACTAAAACCTTTGGTATTTTCTTCGATTTTAATTTGTTTGTGGTATTTTCCATCTGAAAATGTACAAAAAGATGCTCAAAAGCCATGCATTGTACATTTAAGGTTTTTTTAAAAAAGAGTTCCAATGAAATATTCTGTGACGGTAATAAAGAAAACCTACGTTATATCTTCTTACCTTCTTTCTCTTTCTTAAGATATTCCTTGATGTTTTCCGCTCTGTTCATGTAATGTGTTATCTTGTCCCGATAATGAGCCTTTCTCCTCTCATCCTTTGTAACTGGAAAACAGAATGTAAACCATATAAAAGAGAGCAAAATCCTTGTTTCTTTTCATCAATTCCACTTCTCCTTTTTAATGTTCACCTGTGTATATGCAGCAAAGCCCCCTTCCACACAGCTGAATAAAATTCCATGTTATCTGCTTTGAATTGGATAATATGGCAATGTGGACTGAGATAGCAGAGTTCAAAGCAGATATTGTGGGATCTTCTGTCTTGATATTCCAAGTTATATGGCTGTGTGGAAGGGCCCAAAGGTACCGATTCTGATGTAGCAACGATAATGGTTCACATAGAATAAATGGCAGGAATCAGCTAACTCCTAAGCTTAACTGGTCAGAAATCTTGGGGTATTTGTTATGAATGACTTTTCAATGACTTTAAAACATAGGTTCTTTTAATTGCAATTTCCAGTGTGAGAGGGTATATCAGATTACAGAAAAACATTTAGACATACAGATATACAGATTCTATGCAACTATATTGGATGTACAACAACTTACAGCTACACTGGACTAACAAACAGACAAAGGGAAATTACATTTTCTTTATCTTTAATGTGTTTTCTATACTTCCGAAAACACAAGTAGCTCTTTTTTCTGCCAAAGCTCACAAACTCAAGTTGAGGAAAGCACTATCATGCATGGATCATATGTACGTACTGGTATACGCTCCAGTTACATCTGGCCATTTCATCTACCCAAGGTACGGGCGCAGCTGGCACACAAGTTTTAACTGTGCAAATGCTCCCCTGGTCACCGTCGAAACCTGAGGTTCCAGGCTCAGCGATGAATCCAGGATCACACCCAAGCTGCAAACCTGCATCTTCAGGAGGAGTGTAACTTTGTCCAACACAGGCTGTAACCCTATGCCCTGTTTGGCCTTGCGACTGACCAGGAGTAACTCTGTCTTGTCTGGATTCAATTTCAATTTGTTCGCCCTCATCCAGACCTTCACAGCGGCCAGGCACCAGTTCAGGACCTGGACAGCCTCCTTAGTAGCGGGTGGAAAGGAGTGACAGAGTTGGACATCATCCGCATACAGATGACACAGCACCCCGAAACTCCGGATGATCTCCCCCAGCGGCTTCATGTATATGTTGAACAACATGGGAGACAAAGGTTGTGGGGTTGAACAGATGTTCTCCAAAAAACACCTTCTGGGTGCGACCCTCCAGAAAGGACCGGAACCACTATAAACAGTGCCCCCCAGGCCCATTCCAGCGAGGCGTCCCAGGAGGATACCATGGTCAAAGGTATCGAAGGCCGCTGAGAGGTCCAGCAGCACTAACAGGGACACACTCCCCCTGTCTAGCTCCCGGCACAGATCATCCACTAAGGCGACCAAGGCTGTCTCGGTACCATGTCCCGGTCTAAAGCCAGACTGCCGAATCCAGATAATCCGTGTCTTCCAAGAATACCTGGAGTTGTGAGGCCACCACGCGTTCCAGGACTTTGCCCAAAAAGGAGAGATTGGAAACAGGCCGAAAGTTGACGAATTAAATGGGGTCCAGTGATGGTTTTTTCAACAGCGGTTTTATTATAGCTTGTTTTAAGCTCACTGGGAGGGCATTAACCACCACCTTTACCCACTCAGCCAATCCTTCTTTAGAAGCCAGGATGGACAGGGGTCTGGGATGCATATGGTCGCTCTCATTCCTCCAAGTATCTTGTCCACATTCTCGGGCTTCACTAATTGAAATGAATCCATCAAAACCGGACAAGCAGATGCTCGTATTACATCCTCAGAGACTGCCGTTAACATGTCCAGACCAGAACGGATCAAAGCGACTTTGTCCGCAAAGAACCGAGCAAATGCTTCACAGCGGGCTGCTGAGTTGTCAGGGCTCCCATCCTGAGTGGTGGGATTTAATAGGCTTCTGACATAAGCATATATAATGACATAAGTACAACCAACAGTGCATAAAAATCATACATATAAAATTATAAAATTCCTAAGAAGCAGTAGAACTTATGGGTAGAACCTTCTCTTCTGCAGGCTAAACATATTCAGCTCTTTAAGACGCTCCTCATAGGGAATCATGGTCAGGGACTACAAGGAATTGTAGTTTTGTGAGGCAGAGAAGGCTAAAGACCTGGAAAAGGTTCAACTCCCATAGCATTGAGCCAAGCAGCTAAAGTGTTGCCAAACTCCATTAATTCTACAGTGCAGCCACACCCTTCGTGCCCTGACCTTGTAGCTGCAGAAGTCTGGCTGGTGAATAATACTGGGGAGATGCCACCACCACTTCGAATAGCCCTGCTTTGCCCAAAGAGGATGGGGCGCGGAGTGCATCTACACTGTAGAATTAACGCAGTTTGACCCCAGGGCAGTCAAAGCGGTGTCAAACCCGGAAACGAACGCCGGCGCCTACCTTTGAGCACCTGCAAGAGGAGCGCGATGCCTTCCTGGTAGCAAACCAGCGACTCCTGGAAGCGGGAGGCCTCGTCCAGCTCCACCGCCCGCTTCAGCACCGACACCGCCGGGTCCTCCATCGCCGGGCACAAGGGCCCCGCGGAGCCTCCCCAAGGCGGGCGGGTCGGTCAGGAGGCGTCAATCATCCCTGGAATCCCCGCCTTCCGCGGGACACGTGACATCTGGGAATTGGAAACTTCAAGGCGTCTCACGGAGCAGGGGGAAAGCTTCCCCATAGAGCTAAGACCTTGTAGAGTCCCTTCCATGCAGCTAACTTCCGAGTACTCTATTGCCCGACTGTGATTGGATGGTCAGAGTGAGGCGTCTTTTCGTTGCCTAGACGATCAAGACGTCACATCCGATTCAAAATGGCGGCGCTGAGATGGCTGTGGGGTCGGACTGTGTGGCGGAGTTCATCTCTTCCCTGGCAGGTGAGAAGCGGCCTCACGCAGCCAAAGATCTAGAATTGAGCGTGTCTATAGTTAAACCCTGTAACCAGGCTGCGGGAGAAAGGATAGTCTGGATAATCATGGTGTTACCTTACGTTTTGGTTTTCTCTTGCCTAGAGTCTTGCAGGAAGCAGAGTAGAGCCTGCCACTGGGCAGGGCTGGATTAGGCAGAAATTCACGAAGTCAAGAGTTCCTGACTGGGTAAGCCTTGTGGTGACAAATATTGCATTATTTCTATGTTGCTCTCATTAAAACTCACAAATGAAAATGTCCAGTGAATGCTAAAAAGTAAAGGTTTCCCTTTGACATTGAGTCTCGTCGTGTTCTACTCTGGGGGGTGTTGCTCATCTCCATTTCTAAGAGCCGGTGTTGTCCATAGACATCTCCAAGGTCATGTGACCAGCATGACTGTATGGAATACTATTACCTTTCCACAGAAGCAGTACCTATTGATCTACTCACATTTGCATGTTTTCGAACTGCTAAATTGGCAGAAGCTGGGCCTAACAGCGGGAGCTCACTCAGCTCCTCGGATTTAAACTGCTGAGGTTTCAGTCAGCAAGTATCACAGCTCAGCAATTTAACCCACTGCGCCACCAGGGGCTCCCAATGTATGCTATGTAGGCCTAAATAGCTAATTGCCATGTATGAAGTTACACTGCAGTTTCATAATATATTTCTGCACATTTAATCAGAAATAAACCTCAGGCATACGCCAAAACAAGTGTGACAGAGAAGGGTTGCAGTATCTGAATCTGTATTTGGAGTCTTAGATCCATAATATGAATATTCTTTCAAATAAGAGACTGAGGGGCCTAGCAGTTAGAAGACATTTGTGTAGTCATTCTTGGTTTTCTTCTTGATATATTTTCAGTGTTAAGAACAAAGGTGGAAGAAGTTGTAGAAAGATATCTAGGGAGGTTAAGAGGTTGAGTACAGCATTTCAGACCTTGGCATCCAGTGCTTGCCTATGACTTAATTTAAATCAGTAATTCTCAATCTGTGGCTCCCCAGATGTTTTCCCAGAAATCCTAACAGCTGGTAGAGATTTCTGGGAGTTGTAGACCAAAATACCTGGGTACTCACAGGTTGAGACCCACTGATTTAAATAAATACACAATCATTCTGCTTAAGAATTGTTGCATTTACTCATTTTTAACACTTCATATACTTTTTAAAAATAAGAATATATCATCAACTTGGATGCACAACATAACAAACCATAACAAAAAAAAGACAATGACGAAATACAAATTGACAATTACAATGCATTATGTATGCATTTTAGGGAGAGAATTGTCTTTTAAATACTGTGTAGATAGGACTTTTGATACAAATATTATACTGATTTGATATTTTAAAATTCATCTTGTCATCTTTGTTACTTAATTTTAATCTATATATTTCATTAGCTGGTAGTAATGGTGAAATTAAAGTCCTCCTTATGTTCACTGTAGGTATTTCAGCCACGACCTGGTGATCATGAAAAATACGGAGGTGATCCAGAGCAGCCTCATAAATTGCACTTCATAACCAGGATCAAAAGTGGCAGAAGGCGACCCTATTGGGAAAAGGATATGATCAGAGTTCTTGGATTGGGAAGGGTATGTAATTCACTGACAATTTTGTTTGCCCTTCTGTCTTACTCCTGGAAAAGTGCTTAGTGGATTTTCTTTTGCTTTAGACATTTAACTCACAGTGCTCAGTTTCAAGCATATGTATTTATCAGCAACTTCCCCTAAATTAGGTTTTAACTATATTTTGGTATTCACTGGATTGCAGTCTTACACAAGTTTATAATGTTGTATAGTTCAGTTGGCATAGCAGAGCAGTATTTCCATCTCAAGGGACAAGATACTTGTTTGGTTGTCTGTATGTACAAGGTTAGTGAGAGTGTGCATCCATTCCACCTCTTAGTGACTGTAATGATTACGATAGCTAATTTCAACAGCAGATGACCTTGCAATTCTTTTGGTAGGCTCAAGTAGGGAAGGGCATTTTCTTTTCCTTAAAGGGCTACATGAAGTGTAAGTTAAAATGCATCACCAGGGCTAAAATCTTTTACACCTATTCTTCTCTCTCGTGATGTAAGCTTTTAGATAAATACAGAGGAACATATATTTATTTTCTGTATTAACTACAATACAACCCCTGTATCAGAAGAAATACATTCCAGGACTTCCCACAGATAACAGCGAACACACTTATTCTGATAATAGTGTGCATGCTGTTCCCCTTCCTCCTTGCTCACTTTCTGCCACATGGAGGGGAGAGTAACTCCACCTCCTTGGAAGAGGGGCTTCCCCCAAAGCCTAAGGCTGCTGTGTGAGCATAAGATTCGTGAAACTGCTGATATGGGATATATTTCTGAACTTTCTGAGAATGAACAAAACCAGAGGTAAGAGTGAACCCTATTGAAATGAAAGACTTCTGAATCAAGAATGCCAGAGTCATGCTGAAGGACTTAAAAATGGCTAAAGAGGACATATTTTGTCAAACGTGGAAAATTGAAATCATGGTCATCAGTCCTGTAGATACATGGGTTCTGCGATGTTATTTTTATTAAATGTGCTAATTTTAATGGTCTGTATAGGGTTTCTTCAACTTTTTCAACTCATGACCTCTTTCCACCCAATAAATGTTTGTGTAACTCCCGAGTATATAAATATATAAAATAGATGTAAAAATAAAGAATTTACAAATAAATCAGTATTTGCAGTACTCACTAAATAGGCTGATTTTCCTTTTTGCGGAGAACTGCTGAAGCATTTTCTGCAGAGTCCACTGTTAAATACTACACAAATCTGTTGTTGCTGGCAAACTGGAGTAATGGGTGGCATTCAGAAACCTTTTGCTGTTGCCAAATTTTTAATAAACTCAACATCGAGCTGAGGCAACCCCATTTGAGGTCAGTACCCACAGTTTCAGAAGGCAGTGCTCTGTACTTACTCTTTTTACATTTATATATTAAGAGCAATATATTCATTAAAACTCTTTGTGTGGATCATATTCAAACTGAATTTTTAAAAATGACTTATGTTTACTTACAGAGATATGAACCCAGAGTGCACAAAAACGTCCCTTCTGTGAATGATCAACTGAAAGTCATCAAACACCTAATAAGGTTTGTTAATTTTTCTAGTCAGCATAATTCTGAATTTTTTTTCCAAAGTGTAATTTTGTAATTTTTTTTCTCCTGGTTGTAGGATAAAACCATTAAAGCTGCCCCATGGAATTCCAACCGAAGAGGAAATGTCTGATACATACTTTAACAGTAGTACAGGTGAACTAATCATTCGCCGTCGTCTAAAACCAGTGGAACAGAAAGCAATTGATTCTTCTTAAGTATAGTGACCTTTTATACAATAAAAATATTAAGCCACAAGTTATACTAGTGCGATTATCTTTGAAATTATTATCAAGATCTCAATCACTTGCTTTGTCAAACATAACAAGAATATGAGAAAATAATTGTTTTAGCTCACATCACTCTGGATTTACAAATGGTTATTGCTTCTCCAGTTTGCTGACTATATACATTAAAGTAATTACACTTATTTTTGCTGGGAGCATTTCCTCTGTTTTTTATCTGCTGAAGAAATTTTGCATTGTAACATGAGGGTGTTTTACTTCATACATCTCTTCGACAGAAAGCACACTTTTCCCTGTGTTAAGAAAAAGTACCTATAATGCTGTGTGCTGCTTTTGTGGTATTCCTCCATTATAGAGGAGAAGCTGTATGTGGAGGACTAAGCCACTTTTTAGAAAAAAACCTGGTTTATACTGGTCTTTTGAGTAAAACAGTTCTGTAAGCTTCTGAAGTTTCCTGGAACAGATTGTATGAGAGGTTTCCATGTTTACAGTTATAGACAAAAACGGAAGTTAAAACAGTGCAAGCAAAAGTATTTAGTAAGCTAACTTAATCTATATGTGCTACACTCAAAAGCCAATGCAATTCTAGGCTGCATTAATAAGAATATAATGTCTAGATTAAGGGAAATTGTAGCCTCAATCTATTCTGTTTTGGTCATGCCTCACTTGGGTACTTTGTCCAGTTCTGGGTTTCACAAGTCAAGAAGGATATTGACAAGCTCTGGAACAGATCCAGGGGATGGCAACCAAAATGGTAAAATGTTTGAAAACCATGTCCTTTGAGGAACGGCTGAGGGAGCTGGGTATGTTTAACTTAGAAAAAAGAAGGTCAAGAGGGGACATTATAGCCATGTTTAAATATTTGAAATGATGTCACACTGAAAAAGGAGCAAACTTGTTTTCTGCTGCTCTGGAGACTAAGATACAGAACAATGGATTCAAATTGGGGGAAAAAGAATATTCCATCTAAACATTACAAAGAACTTCCTGACAGAGCTGTTTGACAGTGAAATATGTTGCCTTAAAGCGTGGTTATCTCCTTCTCTGGAGGTGTTTAAGCAGCCTCTTTATTCCAGGATACTGCAGTTGATTTCTTTTCTGGCTTTGTTGTATGCATTGTTGAAGCCTTGGAGCAATGTGCAATTGCTTTGAAACTTATTTTATATTTATGTTGTATCAAATGGGTGTCTCATAATATGTACTGTTCCGTCTTTATGACCAGAACATGCTTTTATCCTGTGTCAGAAAAGTAACTGAAATGATCCCTTTCTCCAGTATATGTTTTTGTTATCTCAAGACCATGTCTGTCATTTTGATTAGGGAGGCATTAATATGGTCATACAATTTGGTTTGCTTCTGGAATTGTCCGATCAAATTTCCAAAGAGGTCAGTCCTTTTCCCGGGATGATTATATGGCTGAGGCAAATTAAACTATAATTCTTTTCCATTGTTGTATTGCAAAGTTTAAGTTCATTACACAGTAGTGGAAGTAGCCAGCATTTATATGGTCTCTTGGCATATTCAAAGCTTGTGTTATCAATGCACATGAGATTGTATGCAGACTGCAGATAAGTAAGTAAAATAAGATACTGGCCAGGGTTGCCCAAATTAGTTTATTTAGGAAAGTAATTACAATCTTAACAACCTAAATCTCAACTAATACATCAAACTATCTCTTATATTATGTTAATGGACATAGTAGCTGTTAGCTTAAAGGAAGAAAATTCAAATCTCCAAAGCAAATCATAAGCAGTGGGCAGAAAAAAGTGAAAATAAAGTGTGTAACATGCATGCTAATTTACACAAAACAGTCGTTTAGCACTTCCTTTACTTTGCCAAGTTTAATGCATTTAAACTACCACCATGATTTCACATCAAAACCATTTAAAACAACCTGGGACATGGAATTTGGAAAGTGTGTTACATATAAGAGTCAAGAGATAAAATACAATGAACTTGGAAGGAATATAGATCAACATTTTTATAAATTGGTTCTTTATGAATTCATTTCAAGTAATTGTTGGAAAGCATTATTAGTATCCATTTCTTTTGTAAAACTTGGCTCTTGCAACAACATCATTGGCATAATCATTCTTTGTTGTGCCTATATCCATTCGGTCATAACTCCGGACATTTTTAACACCTGCATTGTAGGCTGAAATTCCACCTATGGGTGAAATAATTTAAGACCGTATGACATAATCTGTTTAATGGGTGATTGAAATTAGCACTAAACAAAGTCATAGGCCTTGCTCTTCCACATTTTGATGCCTTATGGATATACAGAAATAGTTCGTACTGAGGTCAAAAGGACTTCCTTCTATATACAGAGGAACACAGTTACATCTGACATCAGTTGCTAATAAAACAGCTTGTCTATCTATCCTTATCAGTATATGAAATAATATTATGTGATATGATACCTGACTGCATTTAACTGCACAGGCTATATTACTCCATATATACCACTCATCCCTCCACATTTGCTGGGCTCAGAGGTGCAGCAAACCTATGAAAGTGGGAAAACTGCAAATTAATTTTCATTAATTCGCGAGAACACTTCTATAGGAGTCTCTGGATCTTCAAGTGTGACTCTATGGTTAACCTCCTGTGGATATCCTAGAAATTCTTAAGTGGATATTGGTCATAGGGGTGTACTGGAGGACCTAGAGTTTCCTAGCGAAACTATGTTAATCACATTTGCGAAAACCCAAATGCTCCATGGTTGTGAAGCCGCGGCTCCTGCAAATCCTGGGAATTGGCCAAAGCTGAACTCTATGGTGCATATAAACACCACTCAAGCTTTGTTCCTGAGCTTGATATGTGCTCAGCTCCACTTTTGAATTGCTTCCTCCTCTACCACATTCATTCTACATTCCCTGGTCAGTGTAGATTTACCCCTGTTTTCCCTTCCTTGCTAAGAGAGAAACCTTAGGGTGGGAGGGGGATTGACATTTTTAAAAACCCCTCTGGCTTTGTTTGGATTCCCATTTTTTTATAATAAAATGTTTTGGGAAAAGTAGCTTCATACCTTTGAGCTGTTGTTCCTTAGTCCACTGTGGAAATTTTTTTTCAATCTCCTTTATCAGAGAACGCAGAATGCTGGTAGCCTGGATCATATGTTCCTCACTGTCCCATGTGCCCGTGGGTTTATGAAATTGTTTGTCAACCTTTAAAAAAAAAAAGAATTTCAGTTAGTTGTTTTACATAAGGGAGAGGCAAGAAAAAGGTCCCTGTACCAAGGAGATTGCAGTCAAAATATTGACAATCGGGAAGATGACCAAAGGAAGGGAAAAGGGGGTAGTTCTTAGAGCTGTTGCAATTGTATTTGACTTGGGGGTAATTATCCTTTGGACTTTGACATGAGGCCAAGGTTGTGAATTCCCATTCAGCCATAAAAATCCATTGGGTCACCCTGAGTAAGTCACACACCCTTAGCCCCAGAAAATGTTCATGATAGGGTCACTTATCATTTGAAGGCACACGACAATGACAATGGTTCTTTACAACTTCAATAAAATGCTTGGAAATGGGGCTTAGGTTTTTATGTATCTCCATCTATCATAGAACTGAAATCACATAAGATTGCAGTATGTTTTAAAGCAGTTGCACCGTATTGCTTACTCACACTCGGACTCAGCCTCTGATACTGAGTATGAGTGTGAGTACTGGGTACTGCTGCCAAGTCATGTTAGACTGCTGTCTTTGTATGTGTGTGGTTTAGGTAGAAGATACCTAACTGCAAGAATTAATATTTATCTCTTGTATGTAATATTGATTTGTGACCCAGCATTCCTTTCAGAGCTTGATCCTATCTTCTGCAGCAATGATGACCATCCCTCTTAGCTTCATCTTATCTTTAATTCTTACAAGCAGCCTCTGCATGCCTGCCTCTAGGATGTTTATGAAAACATTGGTGAGCATAGGCAAGAGATCCATCACACACCCCTTATCTCCACTTCCAAAAGAATAGAAATTACTTATCAAATATAACACCTTTACCTGCATCAAACCAAATCCATTTCCATGGTCACCCCAGCCATTCTTCAGGAGAGTCCCAGCATGAGATTCTCGGGAGATTATAGCAGCAATTATAGCTGCATCAATACCTGTTTTTCTACTGACATTCATAATTTTTGTCTTATATTTCTCCAGATTCTTTAGATCTCTCTCTGCAATTTTTTCTGAAGCTGGAACCCCTTATGGGAAAAAGAGGATTTAAAAAAGTAATTTGCACTTGTTTGCAGGTAATATTTTATGGTAAGCTTATAGAAAGTCCACAATCCAGTTTCAATCGGATATAAAAGCCTATCTCCATCAAAAGAAAGCTGTGTCCAAGGATAATTATTGTCATACAACATTAGTAATACAATATAATACTAATAATAATACAATAGAATAATATAATAGTTATATATTTGATATTACATGTAATATTACTAATAATATTTCAGTATAATAGTATAGTACAATATAGTGATATATAATACTAATATTGTACTATGCTAACAATATAATATATGCACATATAACTTGTAAGCCACTTTGAGTTCCCTTTGGGGTGAGAAGGGCGGGATATAAATGTTGTAAATAAATAAATACATACATAAATATTTGCACCAATTGCATATGTGAAATCATGTTTCTATACCTTGGCCTCTCTCATTCTCTAAAGCAGTGTTTCTCAACCTGGGGGTCGGGACCCCTGGGGGGGTCACAAGGGGATGTCAGAGGGGTCCCCGAAGACCATCAGAATATACAATATTTTTTGTTGGTCATGGGGTCAAGTTTAACCCAATTCTATCATTGGTGGGGTTCAGAATGCCCTTTGATTTTAGGTGAACTATAAATTCCAGCAACTACAACTCCCAAATATCAAGGTCTATTTTCCCCAAACTCCTCCAGAGTTCACATTTGCACATATTGAGTGTTCGTGCCAAGTTTGGTCCAGATCCATCATTGTTTGAGTCCACAGTGCTCTCTGGATTTAGGTGAACTACAACTCCCAAACTCAAGGTCAATGCCCACCAAGCCGTTCTGGCATTTTCTGTTGGTCATGTGTGGCGAGGTCTGATTCAATTCCTTCATTGGTGGAGTTCAGAATGCTCTTTGATTGTAGACGAACTATAAATCCCAGCAACTACAACTCCCAAATGACAAAATCCATCCCCGCACCAACCCCACCACTATTCAAATTTGGGCGTATTGAGTATTTGTGCCAAATTTGGTCCAGTAAATAAAAATCCATCCTGCATATCAGATATTTACAGTACGATTCATAACAGTAGCAAAATTACAGTTATGAAGTAGCAACAAAAATGTTATGGTTGGGGGTCACCACAACATAAGGAACTGTATTAAGGGGTCGCGGCATTAGGTAGGTTGAGAACCACTGCTCTAAGGCCAGCTCTGCTATTAGGCAACAATTGCAGTCACAATGTAACATACTGATCTTTCCACCTGCTTTGGGAGGTGTTTCAGAACACACAAGCATTCAAAAGGGCAATTTTTTAGAAATGCTCAGATCCCTTAAAGAATCCTCTTCACTATAAAGCCATTGATCATCAGCTACTTTGTTAGAAAGTATCAACAAGAGGAAAGGAGGTGGAGAGGAAACCTGCCTCTGTTCCAGTTGCATTGTCCTCTCCCTGTTTGTCTGAATACACATGATAAAATATTGTAATGTAATTGTAGTAAAATAGAGAGAGACAATAACAAGTGAGCCAATGTACAGTCTTAGATTTGGTTTCATCCTGCTGGGAGCAAACTGAACAAAAGAGACAGTGTGGTGTAGCGGTTTGAGGGTTAAGATTACAACTTTGGAGATCAGGGTTTGAATCTTCACTTGGTCAAGAAACTCACTGGGTGACCTTGGGCAAGTCATACTCTCTCAGCCTCATGTGAAGGCAATGGCAAATCTCTTCTGAAGAAATCTTGCCAAGAAAACCCCTGTGACAGGGTCACCTCATGGCAGGCATATCCAAAGTCTAGCCTGCGGGCCAATTGTTCAAATTTACACTGGCCCTATCTCTCCAGGCCTCCCTCCCTTTCTTGACTTCCTTTCTCTCTTTATTCATTTGTTCCTTCTTGGGGATCAGGGGCCTGGAAAAGATGGGCTCATCCGGAGGAGAGAAAGAGAGATGGGGGCCTCTTGCGTCCCCCACGATTACGCATTGCCTTCTTCTCATTTAGCTCCAGCCTCGAGCATCCCATCTCAGTAACCCCCTTTCCCCCTCTCTCTTCCCCCACATCTTTTTCTGTATTTCTTTGCAAAGGAAGGCTCCCCAATTGCCTTGCTTGCCCCAGGCGCCCACTGCTACTGCTGGACGAGTGTTTGTCTGGCTTCCCTCCCTCCCTTCTCCACCCAGCCTTCATTCTGTGTTATGCGCTGTGATTTCCAAAAAGTCTGCCCTTTGCTGCAGCTCCTCCCTTGGGAAGAAAATAGGAGAGCCAGGCAGCAATTATATTGCCCCACCCGCCACAATCAAAGCCCTCCTGACAGATACCCATGCTGCCTCTGCTGAAAAACCTCCAGAGAAGGAGACTCCACCGGACTCTGAGGCAGAATATGGCATTGTCTGAAATGACTTGAAGGCACACAACAAATAGTGTAATTATTTACTTCTTATCATCCAGACCTGAACCTATAGTTTGAGTCAAAGTTATTTCATGGACTGAATCACAACAAGTCTTGCTACTGTCAGAGAGGAGATAAAATTTGAGGCTTTGGGCCCTTCTACACTTCCATATAAAATCCAGATGATCTGCTTTGAACTGGATTATGTGCAGTGTAGACTCATATAATCCAGTTCAAAACATATAATGTGGATGATCTGCTTTGATAATCTGGATTATATGGCTGTGTAGAAGGGGCCTTAGTAATTCTGATTGAGCCAACTAAAGGGAAACCCCCATATGTCTTGAAGGCTTTGAACATCTGATCACATTATCAATGTTGCTGTTCTCCCCATGTCAGTATATACACTGAAGCATATAATTTCTTGATTACTTTTGTCCTAAAACTTTCCCTAAAGTTAGCACTTTGTTCTCTTTTATAGAGTGTATAACTTTTGCTTTTAGAATATTCTTAATTAATAATATACATGATGGAGCACCAGTCCATTAACAAAATTACTGCAGCATCCAATCCTAAAAGTAATAATCTTACCACCATAACTCAGGCCTTCTTGCTTTCCAGTTTCAGCGGATGCTCCAGTAGTATCAACATGCATAATGTTGCCATAAGATTGAGCTAACAAAAATAAAGACAATTATGAAACAATGAAGTCAGATAAAAATAGATTACACTTGACTACCTCTTGTGAGAGGAAGTGCTAAATGTGCTAAAAAAAATACATGCTTGCTGATTAAACTGTACTTCTAAGGCAGTATATAGATCCATTATTAATTTCATCATCTAGCTTGGTGGAAACATATGTTGATCCATACCATCTATGTAATTAATTTTGCTTTCTTAGAAGGAATAAAGTAACATACCCAAATTCTAGCCATCTTTCCAATTGGAAGATTTGAGTCTAAAACTAATTTCTGTTTCCATCAAGAATATTAAATTAGCTTCTAAATGACATGAGTCCTTAGATAAATAATCTTACTTCAGTTCGGACTAGCAGTTGGATTAATTCCTTAGTACTGTATTTCTTCAATTCTCAGGTGCACTTTCCCCCTATATAAACATATCTAAAAATGGTGTGTGTCTTAGAACTGCAGATGTACGTTATGTATTTTTGTTGTTGCTGGTACTCAAATTCTGGTGTGCCTTACAATCGATGGCATATTACAATTGAAGAAATACGGTACTTTTAGAATTTTCTTGCAAGGTGCTGCTGCCCGGATCTGAGATCTAGATCTCAAATTTGATGATAAAAAAAAAATAATCAACCTTAGTACCAAAAGGGTTACAAGTCAGTTTTTGGTCAACTTTAGATTTGGTTTGGTTATTTGGGGTGCTGATTCAGTTTCTAGTTTCTGAAACAGAAGATATGCCATCCAGGAGCCGCCATCTGCTCGCCCACAGAAAACCATATTTAATAATCTAGAGCTGATGTGATAGTAGTCAGCCTCTCCCCTCCCAACATGATTGTTGCCTTGGCACTATAAGACGGTTTCACGAGACCAGTCGCTCTCATTGGCGCATGATTTTGAGGCAACAGTGTAGTAATGGTGAAGCCATGGACCATATTTTCGTTCTTGTGGACCACTGGTGGTCCATGAACCACAGGTTGGGAACCACTTCACTAGATGGTCCCAGTGACTAAAATTTGATAATAACATCTTTGTTGGGGAATTTGATAGGAAATTTCCAACCCCCAAAACATTACAAAAAACTTATAGAGGGAGAAAGCATTAATGCAAAGGACACTGAATACAAGAGGACTTCCTGGTAAGTTGGAAAGAATGACAACAACTCAACAACAGAAACAAATATTAATTATTACCAAACCACAACACGTTGTGACTGATTTATCATGTGTTTTACTATATGATTCCTCCTAACTGGAGCAAATCATTGCCTTACGCCTTTGTTTGCAAACCACATGTACACTGTTGTAGATAAAATAATTAAAAGCACTCTTAAGCATTAAAATACATCAAATTATTGTAAAATACATACCTGCCATGACTCCTTGAAGTTTCTAGTCTCTCTTGGAACTGTAACTGGAAAAAGAAAAGAAACAGTCCAGCTTCACTTTCAGTATCAGTTTCCTTCCTGGTTGCTTGGTGGCTTATTTATGGTCCTGGTAGTTGAGCAATTTGGGAAAATTGCATCAAAAGGGGAGTTGCTGACATTCCTTGATGGGTGGGATCACCACAGAAATAATACAACTACTTGACTCCTTATAATAACTTGGCATAATCCTTTGGAGTGAATTATGTCATGTTAATCCTCAATCAGAGCAATATTTTGGTTCTCAGATTATTTGTTTGACTGTAAAAATGCCTAATTGTCTATTCTCTTCACTGAAAAATTACAGCTATGTAATTCATACCACTGAAAATTACATTAACATTAGAGGTCTCTAGTTATTTTATCAAAAAATAGATCCTAACATTATGAATTGTGGTATGCAACTCCATGGAGACATACAGCAAGCCCACATTGACTTTTCCTTTTGCCCTATAGTAACATTTTTCATGAATTTCCCCTGGAATGTTGTCACACTGCACCCCAGATCTCAGGAAGCAGCTTCGTGATTATCATAATCCTCTCACAACAGGCTCACACAAGAGTGTCTGTTACGTAGGTATTCATAAATATTTGATCGTTTAGGAGAAATTAAAGTATTCTTTTAAAAGCAAGCAGAAATTATAGTTTTTATATACCTGAACACATTGTGGAACTGTATTTAAAATTAAGTTTTTCTTATGAAGTTTAACCTGGGGAGTCTAATTCTGATGTCAGTTTTGGTGGACTGCATCATCTTCATGGCAAAAATCTTTTTTCTTTTAATAATGTTTTATTATCCATAAAAAGAAAAACATTTTATTATTTTACATAAAAGTGGGAGAACATTAAGTCTATAGTAAAGTAGGAAACGAAAAAACAAACAAAAAACAAACAAAAATCATGTCAAAAATCTTGATCAAACATAAGCAATGTCAAAATTTGATTGCTTCCTCTATGTCAGCTATGGCTGCTATTGCAATGTGAATTGGCAGAAAGGTAGATAATTATAGTGTGAACACATTATCAAAATTTGGTTGAGATAGTGCTTGCAGTTCTGGAGGAACTCTAATTTTTGCTTTTAATTGGGGATTTGGTTAATCAGTTAATATTAGTTAGTAAAATGTGTTTAACCTGAAAAATGGGGGGGGGGGGAGTGTTGAACCTGTAAACTGTCCCTTTGACAATGGGATTGGTGGAAAAGGTACCTATCCAGTACCGCTGAACCAGTTTTAGTGGTGCTGGATGGTCGGCACTCCCTCATTCCTCTGCAATGGCCAAGAGGTAGCTGTGAAAATAATTCTGGGGCGAATCTGACATATGTCATGCCAGAGTGTCCCCAGAATAACGAGTTAGTGTAGATCCGCCTTTTGTTTAGCTAGGATGTAATGTTAGAAAAGTGGCAAATGCTCTAGGGTGGAGTTGAAAGTGGCTACAAAAACAAAGGAGTCATTTTCTGAGAAGCAGTCTGAATTTTCATAATCTTGGACATTTTAGACATGTACATAAAGCACACGGAAATCTTTCCCCCCATAAGCTCATAATCCTATTCAAGCCATTCTACCTGGCAAAACCTACTTTTTTTCTAAATGAAATAACTAGATATTTGGGGAAAGCTGCACAATGAAGTCTGTCTTATGGCCCTGTCCAAGCATCTAAGAGTATTTTACAACATGTACATTGTTAATATTAGAAACTCTTGACCCTAGTCAGTGAAAATATTATATACTAGTCATAGTAATAAATAGCATCAGGAGATAGCTTAGTATTAGCAGTGAGCCATAAACGCCACTTCCTCCAATATTTGAACGGCAGGCTACATTTGACTAATTCTCGAATGAAACAGCACCAATCATACTAGAGATGGTAGGGCCAGTGATAGTACATGGGACCAACCTAGAGTCACCATCAATTAAAGCTGAAGTACCTGATCACTTTCAGACCAGGAACTGAATGTTTAATGACAGTCCTTACGAGACAACATAGTGGGAAGGATGTCAGACCTAGTAATGTTGTGTTGAAGCCACAGCCTGCTAGCAAAGGGGTCTAACTAATCACGAGGGAAGAGTACTCTGCTGTCTGTCCACTAATAGCATTGTTTGAACTGACCATCTTGATTTGGACCTTGAGAGGATGAGGCTTTATGATTGCCTTCTCTATGACCAGCCGATGTTCAGAATCACCTATACTTCTCTTTCCCCAAGTTACTTCTCCCTATTACTAATAGAAGCAAAGAAACTACAGGCAGTCTCCAAGTTATGAACAAGTTAGGTTCTATAGCTTTGTTCTTAAGTTGAATTTGCATGCGAATTGGAACAGGAACATTTTTAAGTGTAACTCCAGTCTAATACTCTCTCTCTCTGTGTGTGTGTGTTTTGATGGCATAGGGAAGGGTTAACACTCATATGGTGTTTGTTTTGCTGTCTGTGCCCCTGTTCAAAAGTGATTTTACCTCACTTTTTGTCCGTCAGAATTGGATTTTGAAGAATTTGGCTTGTTGTGGAACCAAGGATTGGTGAGAAAGCTTCAGTGTAGACACCTTTTCCCCATGATAACTCTTTCAGGAATTAATTTCCCATCTGAGAGGTGGATTTATTTCACTTCAGATGGTCCTCTGCCATCAACTCCGCTGGGCCGGTCACGTTGTCCGGATGCCTGACCACCGCCTCCCAAAGCAGTTGCTCTACTCTGAACTTAAGAACGGAAAACGGAATGTTGGTGGACAGGAAAAGAGATTTAAAGATGGGCTCAAAGCCAACCTTAAAACTCTGGCATAGACAATGAGAACTGGGAAGCCCTGTCCCTTGACCGCTCCAGCTGGAGGTCAGCTGTGACCAGCAGTGCTACAGAATTCGAGGAGGCACAAGTGGAGGGCGAAGGAGAGAAACGTGCCAGGAGGAAGGCGCGTCAAGCCAACCCCGACCGGGACCGCCTTCCACCTGGAAACCAATGCCCTCACTCTGGGAGAAGATGTGGGTCAAGAATAGGGCTCCACAGCCACCTACGAACCCACAAGGAAACGCATAATGGAAGACCATCTTACTCGTCCAACGAGGGATCGCCTAACTAAGTAAATAAGTAAGTATTTCACTTCCTGTTGTCTAACCCCTGTTCTTAATTAGGAGTCATTTGTAAATGTGATGTTTGTAACCTGGGGACTGCCTGTACTACAGTATTGTGGCTAAAGCAGGATTGGAAAGGGGAAGATAAATTAAAACCAAGTCACCTCCCAGCAAACATGATGTTTTCCCCAACTTTTCTGATAAGTAGAATACACAAACCCAGACTACTAGTGCAATGATACCATTTTGTAAATCTGCGGAGATATGTACCTATTTAAAAAATAATATGAATCGCCTTCTTACATTCATATTTTTTTGAGAATTTATTAGTAATAAATGTTGATGCTTGCAGATAGCTATAAAATAAAATGCATTGTACAGCTTTTCACAGGTTGTTATTTAACTTAGAAAAAAGAAAGTAAGCTTCGCCAGACAGAATGGCATAAATAGGATTATAAGTTTATGTAGAACAGTGGTTCTCGATCTGTGGGTCCCCAGATGCTTTTGGCCTTCAACTCCCAGAAATCCTAACAGCTGGTAAACTGGCTGGGATTTCTGGGAGTTGTACGCCAAAACACCTGAGGACCCACAGGTTGGGAACCAATGATGTAGAAAAATACATCAATGTGCTTAATGTATAGGTTTAAAATTTTCAAGATTATGAAAATTCAAGGTGCGTCTCAGAAAATGAATCATTTGTTTTGGCAGCCACTTTCAACATCACCCAAGAGCATTTGCCAATTTTCTAACATTGAACCCTGACTAAACAAAGGGCGTATCTACACTGACCAGATCTGACTAGAATGTTTTCCAAAGCAATCCCCCTGACCACTGCAAAGGAGGGAAGGAGTCCTGGCCGCCCAGTGACAACAATTCCGGTTCAACAACACTGGATAGCCACCCTTACCGTCCTCTACCCCTTGACGATCTGGGTGTATCATTGACTTTCCTTGGGTTCTCCTTTGATGGAAAATATAGCTCCGTATCTAACCCCATATGAGGTTACGATAAAAGCATGGTCACAAGACCACGGCTACTCTGTAAGGTTGTTGATTTGAGTGATTGTAGGGTCAATAGAACTCCCGTTACAGATAGAAATAAGTAATCATTGTGTGTGTGTACTAATTGAGTCTGAATATACAGTTACCCTCCAAGATCTTAGTGTGAAATGTGAACTGGTTGTTTAAAGAAAAATGTTCCCTATTATAAAAACACATCAGAATCAAAATAGATTTATCTTCTAGAGTGTTATTTGTGTAGCAGAGAAATAACTGATCTATGCCTGCATCACAATACTATCCAGAGTGTTGTTGTTGTTCATTCGTTCAGTCGTCTCCGACTCTTCGTGACCTCATGGACCAGCCCACGCCAGA